GACCCTTTGCAGGAAAAGTTCACTGGTTCTGCCCTATGTAGAAAGTACCAGCAACAGAGCCTCCCTCAGACTCTGAGCCCTCTTGGGTCTGGTGTGCCCAAGTCGGGTATTTCTTCTCCTATCTTTTGGCTGTTCCTGTCTAGGGCTGGTTTTCAAAGTGGGTCTTGCCCTGCCACCTGAAACACACTGGGGCAAAGACAGGCTGTGCGGGTCAGCATTTTGTCACTGTGATCAAACTACCTGACATTTGCCTCCACAGGAAGAAAGGCTCCCTGTGGCTGATGGCCTCACAGGTTTCAGTCCAAGACAGAAAGAAACATCACAGTAGAAAGGGATGCTGGCATCTCATCTCATGGCATCCAGGAAGCAGAGAGAAAGGTAAGAGCATAAGATAGATACACACACACAGAGAGAGAGACAGACAGAGACAGAGAGAGACAGAGAGAGACAGAGAGAGAGAGAGAGAGCGAGCGCAAGCGAGCTGGGGAGCTGGGGACAGGAGGTACCCTTCCAGGCCATGCTCCCAGTGAGCCACCTTCCCTGATGAAGCTCGTCTCCTCATAGCTCCTTCAGCAATGAACTCATCAATGGGCTAATCTCTGACTAGCTTAGCACCCCCATGGTCAAATTACTTTTCCAAAAGTTGCATCTCTGGACACATGAGCCTTCTGGGGGTGCATCCAAGATGAAACTGTAACATTCTACCCATGACCCCGCTGGCTCATGTCTATGTCTGGATGCAAAATGCATCGAGTTCATCTCCAGGAGCTCCCAGAATCTCAAAAGTTCCAGCAGTGCTCAGAATTTCCAGTGCTTCTCTGAGACTCAAGCAAACTCTCAGTTGTGATTGCTGCACAGATAAAAAGCAACTAGCAGGTTTCCAAGATAGGGTAAGCGCTCCCAGTCCAAAAGGGAGGACTCGGAGATCAGCGAGGAATCAGAGCAAAATTAGACTGAAACCAAGCACGGAAAACCCTAACTCTGTGAGCTCTGTGTCTGGAATCCAGGGTAAAGATGATGAGCTCTAAGCTCCAGTGGGCTTGGGTGGCCCCACTCCTATGGTCTTGCTGGTTGCTGCCCACCGGCGTTTCTCCTGGGACTGTCTGCTCACTGTCTGCAGCTTTCCTTGGCAACTTCCCCAACTTCTTGGGGTCTCCATTGCAGCTTTGGGTTCATTCCTTAGCTTTGTTCTTTGTGCTCTGAGGGGCTCCCGGCAGGCACCATAACCCTGTCACACACTGCCTGGTCTCGCAGGCCTTCCTGTGGCTGGGTGGAACCTCCCATGAGCCCAGGATTCTTGTATTCTGCATGCCTGTATGTGACATGGATGCTGCCTGAGTCTGCTGCCAGCATGAACCACAGCTGATACCTCTGGTCAAGGGTCTCTGACCATCTGGAGGATTCAACCTTGGAAAATCTTCTTTAGGTGGCCCTAAGTAAGTAGAAGAGTGTCCTGAGGCTTTTTTCACAAAGGAGTATCTTTCAAATAATTTATACTTACACATCCTTGAGCCCAAGATAGATGGAGCCTGCCTAGTTCCTGAGAGGCCCTCAAGGCATTATTCTATTATCCTAGTACAAAATATGTGGCTTATTTTTATGGTACGAACATAGTTAGCAACCATAGCTTCTTTGGCTTCAACTTTACATACGCTTCTTTTTGACCAAACTGAGTTTCTATTTCTATTTCTATATATTTCTATTCCAGCAATACCATGCCATAGCCCAAGTGTTGCATTGCCTTGAAATTGCCTCTGCCAGATTACTTGGCCACCTTTAAGTTCTGCCTCACACAGAGTCATGGGACATAGATGATACATAGACAAATTATTTGCCAGAAAGCAACATGCATGGCTTTTAGGCTAATTTTCAAGAGAGCCCTCACATCTCATCTGAACCCTCACAGCTCACATTCCCATTGGCATTTTGATCTTTCGAGCCGCTGCCAGAATCAAGCATCAAGACCTAAGGTTCCACTAGCCTGCATCTCCAAACCTTTCCAAACTGCTCCTGCAAGCCAGTTCCCAAGGCTTCTGAATGGTATCACCAGGCACAGCACAGCAACGGCTCTGACTCTGCACTGATATTTTGCATTGGTTGGCTTTTCACAGCTGTTCCAAAATACCTGCTGAACAATTTCAAAAGGAAAGGTTGATTTTGGCTCATGGGTTCGGAAGTTTCAGTCCATGGCCAACACCAAGGCAGGAGCATCATGGTAGAAGGGTCTGATGGAGGAGGGCTGCTTACCCCATGGCGGCCAGGAAGCAGAGAGCGGGGAACAGCTTTTACCGTCTCCAACTAGGTGTCTGCTCCCAGTAACTCATCCAGCCAGGGACTCGTCCTGAGGCTAATCCATTAGTGTTCTCATGATTTGATTGTTTTTCACTCGTCTCACCTCTAAGCACCTGTGCCTTTTGGGGGACATTTGTGCTTAAATTATAACAGAGGCTCTGGGGTGTCCTTCCTCTCCATGGCAGCTGAACCATTTTTTGAGCACAGCCACCCCTCTGCATTGTATTCACCTGATGTCCCTGTCCCCTCAGTTATTATTTTTTTTCCAGGGGGTGTTTTGGACCCCAGATTTTCCTATAGCTGCCGTTTTCCACACCTGCCACTCTGACCAGGGTCTACTGCTGGCCTTCAGAGCCAGGGTAACTTTGCAGCAAGAGCTGTCTCAGCATTCAGCTGTCTCAGCATTCATGGCTTTCTTCAATTCGGTCCAGCTCGCTGAACCCCTCCTTTGCTTACCAAGATGGAGCTGACTCTCAGCACTGTGTGTGCACTTGGTTACGTGTGGTTCTGAGGCTCAAACCCAGGGCGCCATGTATGCAGGGTACCCTACTACCAAGCTGCACCCCAGTCCACCTCTCAGCATGTTATGATAGAAGAAAGGTGATATGCACATACATGAACCCAAGCGAAGCAGTAACTGAGAAAATCATGAATATCATGAAAGGAGGGAGGGGATGATTTAGAAGTAAACTCAATAAAAACAAAATTTCCAAGCTACATCCTGAGACTATGACAAAGCCTAACAAACTGACCGGTTAAATAATTACTCTGTTTCTAAGCTCTCCCTAAAGCACAGGTTAAGGTTCAAACCTCCAGTAAATCTCTCCATGTGATTTACTGTGTCTCTGACACACTGTTTCACTTACTGACACATTACTTTGCCTCCGGCAATGCCTGTGAACATTAAAATTCTACAAACAAGTACAGCTTTTTGAGATAGAGTTCAAGGCAGCATCTTTTTTACCTGTACCCTCTTTCCTTATTAAAACTAGGTTGGACCCTCATCCTGTTCCCCTTTCCCTGTGTGAAACGGTGCCCTGTGACTGTGGCATCAAGGTGACCCTGCCTGGACAGCCAGTTTGTTTCCTGGATCACCTGTGAGAGGTTCTGGTCAATCCCGAGGGGCACCTCTTGCATAATTTCTGTCTTTGTACCTTGGTCTTTTCATTCTCAATCCCTGCACATCTCCTTCCTGGCTTCCTCCCTTCCAGGCCCCCTTCTGGGGGAAGCTGGGGAAGTCTGCCTGGAGCATTCTGGTCCTGAGGGAGATGACTCCGGAACAGTGACCCACAGGTGAGAACTACGGGGGCTTGGGATGGTCAGCAGCCTGCTGCAAAGAGGGCTTACCAGTGTATTCATCGGTCACATATTTTTGAAGAGATACTGTGGACTTCCAGCACCATGCTGAACAAAGAAAGGAAATTCTGCTCTGTATGGGTGGGGTAAGGTGGGTCTACATGAATGGACATGTGATGAGCACACTCTAGCTCTGATACAGAAAGAGCTAGAAATCAGCACTTAGCTTCCAAACAGCTGGCCAGCCCAGGTGTCTGTGCATGCATCTGTGTGTCTTATTTTCCTTTGGTCAAGAGGGGACAGAGAAGATGGGTCACACTGTCTGGCTCTGGCTGTGGAGATTTTAATCCACATCCTTCCTTGTAATCACGGAATTCTCGATCTCTCTTCTCCAAGCAGATGTTTTCATCTCTGTTGTAAATACAAGCAGTAACACTGACTACACAGACTGTTACTGGTAGGGTGAAGAAAGGAATGATAGCTTTATGGGCATCTGAGGCAGAAATAATTTGAGAGCACGAGATGTAGCAGCCACTCACCCACCTAAGTCAGGGACCCTGGATTTATTTATTTTTTAACAGCAGCAAGACAAAAATTTCTCTGCAGAAATCAAACTGCAGTTGGGCCTAGTGGCCCACACCTATGATCCCTGCTCTCAGGAGGCCGAGGCGCTAGGACTGCTGTGAGTTTGAGACTAGCCTGGGCCACAAAATGAGCTCAAGGCCAGCTTCATTGCATAGGGAGACCCTGTCTCAAAAGGACAAAATAAAGTGTCTCAAAAATAGAAACGTGTTCTAAATATCTTCCCACCCCCCCATGGTTACCGAACGAGGTGTTCCCAAGCGGCTGTTACACACTCGGTTCCTAATCTTTGTATTTCTTGCCATCTGGAACCTCTGATTGACTTGGAGAACTCTGGTTCCTCTGCGCGGCTGAGCCCCCTGACCCCTCTGTTCGCGCCACCCAGAGCGGCCTCCCCGCTGTGACCCCCTCGCTGCTGGGAGCGCAAGGGGCGCAGCACTGCTGTCATCTCCCAGGCTGCAAGAAGGAAACAACCACGGATGGAGGAGGACATGCTCGGCCTTGGCTGTGCCAGGCGGGAAGGACTTGGGCAAAGGGGCACCGCGGTCTGGGGTGCAGGGAGAGGCAGGTCGCTCTGCTCCGCCGCTCGCTCCGGACTGGACCGTGTCCGCTCCCGTCCGCCCCGTCCCGGCGGCCGGCGCAGCCTGCCCAGTCCCCTTGGCGGGGCCACGGCCGCCCCGACGGCGCCCGGGCTGCTGCATCACCGCGGCCGCCACCTGGCCCCACCGCGAGGCATGCGCAGTGCGCCCCGCGCGGCCCCGGAACCCCGCTCGGCGCGCTCCCGGGGCGGGGCGCACAGCCGCCCGCGCGCCCCCGCGCCCGCGCCCGCGCCGCCTCAGCATCCTTAGGCCCCGCAGCGGCCCCGCAGTCTCTGGAGCGGCCGCGCCCGCCCGGGAGGCTCCGAGCGCAGCGTCTGGGCGCGCGCGCCCCCCGCGCCCCCTGCCCGCGGCCGCAGCATGCGCACCCCGCCGGCGTGACCGGCTCCGCCCCAGCCCGGCCCGCGCCCTCCCGGCCACAGCGAGCGAGCGAGCGAGCGGCGCCCGGAGCGATGAGCCATGGAGCCGCCCGGCAGCAGCGCCCGGCGGCCGCCCCTGGCGGGCTGCAGCCCCGCCGGCCCCCGCGGCGACCCCGCCGGCCCGGAGCCGCGCCTGCTCCTCGCGCTGCTGCTGCTGCTGCCGCCGCCGCCTGCGCTCGCCGCCTCGCCCGGGCCCCGCGCCTGGGGGGCCGCTGCGCCCCGCGGTGGGTATGGCCCGTGGCCTTCGCGTCGCGCTCCCCGCGGGCCCCGTGCGCCCGGGACGCGTCCCCGGCTCGGCCTTGCGTGCCTGCCTGCCCGCCTCGCCACCCTGCGGGTCTCCAAACCCCGTCCTTGCCAGTGCGCTTCTGCAAGTCTGTTTCTGCGGCATGCACCAAAAACCCATCCCGGAGACGGTCGGTCCCACCGGGAGGAATGGAGCCGGTTCTCCGGCGATCTCTGTGCAACTTGAGGGGGCAGCCAGAGCCTGGGGAGCGCAGGGAAGGAGCAAGTTGCTCCCGGCGTGCTGGAGCCCTCAGAGGAGCGTGGGGAGGATGGGGGTGCTGATGATGGCATGGGTGGGTTCCTCAGATTTCCTGCCCAGTGCACCCACTGCGGCTGGGATTCAGGTGAGCGAGGCGGACTCCAGGGACCGAGGAATGAGAGTGCAGGAGACGCACGTTGGGCACGACCTTTGGTTGTGATTTCTCAAAATGCTTGTCGTTTTAACGATTAAAACAGTATGATGGTCAGCACGCTGGCGATTGGAAACCAGCGGGAGCAGAAAGCTGACCTTGGTGGGAAAGATTAAAAAGAATTTGGAAAGCTGCCAGCCTCCGTAACCTTCTTTGGCGAAGGGAATTTTTGCTCCTTTCAAAGTTAGAAGAAAAGAGAATTGTCCATTTTGTGGAATGGATCAGTTAACCTTCTGTGTGCAGGCAGGCAACCCTCAGCTGTCTTGGGAGTGTCCTGAGCTCCCAGATGGGATACTGCGAAGCAGAGGACAGTTGGGCTTTTGTAGACTGGAGGGCTGGAATGGCTCGTTTAACTCCCCGCTAAGTCCGTGTAGCCCCGTCCCCCTCATACTTGGACTGGAGAAGCTGGGTGCATGATTGCCATATGCGGTTGTGTAAGCCTTTATGGCTTACCAACCTATCCTAGGCCATTTCACGCTACCCTAACTTGCCTTTCTGCATCTGCACTTTAAACCTGCTTAGCCATGGAAAACTTTCTTTATGCAATGGATGGAGAAGTGCCCCCTTAGAACTTATGTATCTGCGGGGTGTCTATGTGTGTGTTTGTTTATGCTCCCTACCCCACCTCCCCCCAGCTCCGCATTGGAATGAAACTGCAGAAAAGAAATGGGAAGTCCTGGCAGATGCAAACGGTACATTGCCACAGAACGGTAGCAGGGACACCAGTGACAGCAGTGCAGTGCAGAGAGAAATCACGACGCCTTCGAGACTCATCTATTACATCAACCAAGACTCCGAGAGCCCTTATCATGTGCTTGACACAAAGGCAAGACACCAGCAACAGCATAATAAGGTAGGCAGGAGGCCGGGCGTGCGAAAGTTCCTACCAGCAAGAGTTACCCTTGGAGTTGGTTTTCTGCCAGCATCTGGTTTCACAGATTTTACTGCAGCGTTTCATTAAGAAAGCGTTCGTTCGGTGACTGGGGTGGGGGTGGGGTGGGGACCCGGGAGGATTAACTGGAGATCTGCTGGGATAGGGTTGCCGCTGGTTTTCCTTTTCTGACTCCATCAGGACTCCAGAGTTTGGATGCCCTTAGCTGAGATGCGGCCCAGGTGGCTTTCAATGCGCTGGGCTCTGAACAGCAGGGAGAATGTGTCCATGGTCCTGACTGGCTCCTGGGAGCCTTGGAGTGACCCTACCGGCTGAGCCTCCTGTCCCCCATTGCATGGACACTCCTGTCCATTTAGAACTGAGTATTTAAATCTACTCTTTCTTTCTTGAATTGACAAGTACAGTGGAAAAAAATGATTGCTACGATGTTTTCAGGAAGTTAAGAATTTGACATTCTTAAGATTACCCAGAATGGAAAAGTGTTGTTTGTGTACCCTGAAGACCAGTTTTGGTTAATGTCACCCTTTGAGACTCAGTCTGCATTGATTGTGAGCTGTTGTTTACTCTCAGGTGGATTTGGAGCGTGGTGCTGATTTTTGAAAAGTTATTCCATGGGAGACAAAGACATTGAATAGCCAAAGAGTTCAGGGACCTTTTTCCTTGCTTCCTAGTATTTCTTTGAATTTGGAATATTTTGGACCTCAAGCAGAGTTACACGGTCAATTTTCGCTACCTGTGTTTTTTATTAGGAGCAGAACATAGGGCCCATATATTATATATCTCTGTATCTGCTCCATTAAGGAGAGCAGTGACATCTGGAATTTAAGAAAAGCATCTGTGTGATTTTACAGCATTGCTTTTACTAGTTTTCTGAAATATAGGTAAGTGGTGAGAGAATTTACCCACATTTTGTAAACAGTGGCCCTCCCAAGGCTGTAAATCAGTTAATATAACATTCAAGAGGACCGAGATAGTTTTCTTTTCTTTTTTTGGTCTTTTTGAGATAGGGTCTTGCTGTGCGGTTCAGGCTGGCCTTGGGCTCACTTTGTAGCTCAGGCTGGTCTTGAACTTGCAATGATCCACCTGCCTCAGCCTCCCAAGTGCTGGGATTACAGGAGTGCACCACTGTGCCCAGCTCAAGACAGTTTTCTGAGCACATACTTCTTTCCCCCTGAACTTGGTGGGGAATTAACTTTGTTTTGCGTTTTTGGAAAGCTGCTGCTGCCTACCTTTGCTGAGATAATGGGTCTCTGTTCTCTGCCAGGTCTGCTCCAGAAGTCTCGCTCTGATTTAGTGGGCTGCCTAATGCATCACGTCTACCCATTTGTCTTATTGATAGGAGGAGTGGGTGTTACATGCAGGAGACATCTCAGGCCACCGTGGTGAAAAGCACTGAGGAACATTTTTACAGACTCCAGCGCCTTTGCACTGGTGCTGGAGGAAGACAAAAAACTGTCTCAGAGCTCTGTTTGTTCAGTTTTGGCCCTGGGGATTGAACCCAAAACTTCTGTGCTGAGCTACATCTTCAGCCTTTTTACATTTGTCTTGAAAGGGGATCTCACTCCGTTCCCAGGCTGGATTTGAGCTTGTGGTCCTCTTGCCTTAAGCTCGGAAGCAGCTGGGATTGTAAGTGTACACACCACCCTCCACCCCAGGCTTTCAGAACCGCTGGTGAAGAAATCTCCTCCTGCTCAGAGGCGATGTGAGGGGAATTTCGGTGGAACGCTCCCTAATCCAGGAGTCGCGGCTGTGACTATGCTTGTCTGTTTTGCTTGTGGGCTGTGATTTGATGACACCGTGTCTGGGTTTCTGTGCTTATGTAGAGCAATACACTGCTTAGCATAGAGCCAAACTTGCTATTGGGGTGCTCTAGCCTCTCACTGCCAGCCTGCCCTGGATGTTGGGTGTCTTTTGTACACTTGGAAAGAATGTTTGAGCAGAAATTATATTTGGAGCACTTTTATCGTTTCTCACTTGATTAACTCAACCAGCATTTCTTGTGTGTTTCTTGCGTGCAAAGCTGTATACCAAGGACCCTCAGATAAGATAGTGTAAGAATGAAACAGACAGCCAGGTGTGATGGCACTTGCCTGAAATCCCAGCACTCGGGAGGCTGAGGCAGGAGGATCAGGGTGAGTTCAAGGCCAGCCTGAGCTACCTAAATGAGATCCTGCCTCCAAAAGAAAGAAAAGAAAAGAAAGAAATGAAAAAAGACATGATCTGCCATGTAAGAGATGCACAGATGACATAAGCAAGATTTAAAAATGTGTCCTCATGCAGGTGTTAAAGTGTCATTTTTGTTTACTGCCTGCCATTCAATTTCCTTTTGTGTTCTGGGGTTGCCCTTTACTTCTGCCTTTAAGCATCTCTTGAACGAGGGGTCAGAAAGTGTTCCTATGCTTTCTATCCTAGCTGAGGGTGACTTGCTTAGGAAGAGTGAGGAGAGACACCCCGGCAGGCACTCCTGATGTTTCATGAAAGCAGTACAGGATTTCATCACCGGGGTACTGATTTTGTGTCTGTGCCCTATGGGCCTCTTTGCTTGCCTGGGTTCCGCTGCACTGAAGCAGATTTTAAGGCATGCTTCGGATCTGCTGAATCACTGTGCTGCTGTCCGGATCCCGGGGTGGGGGTGGAGGTGGGGGTGGGGGCGGAGGTGGGGAGCAGAGCTCCCAAGTGCAGGTTTCCGGGCCAGGCCAGGCATCTGGGTTTGCAGGGGCTTCTGCTTACTTAGCAGCTGTGGAAGTTAAAATGCTTTGAACTCTTTGGCAATTGGGGAGTTTAAAGGCAGACTGTGTCAAATAGCTCTGTGCAAACTGGTATTTCTGAAAAGCCTTCATTTTGTCAAAGAGAATGTTTAGAAATCTTTTTCATTTGCAGATAGGTGGTATATAACTTATTGGCCAAACTATCTTTCTTTCTTTCTTTCTTTCTTTCTTTCTTTCTTTCTTTCTTTCTTTCTTTCTTTCTTTCTTTCTTTCTTTCTTTTTCTCTCTCTCTCTCTGTCTCTCTCTCTCTTCCTTCCTTCCATTCTTTCTTTCTTTCTGAGACAGGGTCTCACTTTGTAGTGCAGGCTGGCCTTGAACTCATGGTGATCCTCCTGCCTCAGCTTGCTGAATACTGGAATTACAGCATGTACTACCAGGACTGGTGTACACTATGCCAATTTTGAGAAAAATGGTATCCTTAGGAATTATGCTGGGATAATAGTCATAAATCAAGACAGTCTGGAGGAGACAAAGAATTTATGGACCCCTTAGATCTAAGTGATTATGATTTTAATTTTTGTTGCTTACCCAAAATCTAGATTTCTTTGTAGAAACAGTTATTTTCTGATGATTTCCTATAAATTTTCTAGCCACCTAAGAAGCCAGTTTACTGTCAATCACATAGCAGTATTAGGGCCTGAAATGGAAAATTTTAATTTTGTGTTTTATCTTGGAATATCTGTCTGGTCTTTGTCCATTTCCTGTCACACAGCTCCTCACATGCATGGTGTCTGGAGTGACAGTGTCTGTCTTTCTTGTATGACAATGTGGTAACCTTGGGTGGCTGCAGGATGTGGCCTGCACATACTTAAAGCATCAGGACATCTACCCTCACCCCAAGAGAGAGGATGTGGGTGTAAACGGTCCCATCCCCATAGTGAAGCTTCTCCTGAAGACTCAAAGGCCTGGATTCTGGGGCTTCTGTGCAGCAGACCAGGTTGGGGTTCTTGGAGCACGGTGGCCCAGAGAGGACACAGAGGCTGTGTCTGTCCTCTGAGGACTGTCCCCTCGCCCCTCTCCCATCACACTGTCCTTCTGACTTCGTAATCGTCTTTATAATAAATCAGTAAATGGAAATAATTGTCCTAAGTCTCGCAAGATGCTGTTAGCAAATGAATTGAGCCTGAGGCGGGGGTCCAGGAGCCCTGACTTCAGAGCCCACGAGCAGCACTGACTGCTACCTGGGGCTTGCGATGGGTGCCTGCAGGCTTTAGGCAGGTAGCTGTCGCCCGCAAGCCCTGACTCTGTCTCCGATGTCAGTGTGAGAACTGAGCTGAAGGAGCCGGCACTGGCCTGTGTGTCGGGGAATCCGTGGGTTCCTGGGTGTGGGGGAAAGCCCCTCACATCTGGCGTCAATGTGTGCGAGGACAGAGAAACGAGAACCATGCCACTTTCTCTCTTGGTGATGGGGATTTACCCTTTCACTTGCACAGACTGTCGTGAGCCTAAGTGGAAGAGCGGGAATACGAAATGTAAGCATTTTATTAGCCAGTCTTGCAATAGATCAGTAAACTGTGCATTTCAGCATCTGGAGAAATACCGCATCATTTATTCACTCTGGGATAACCCTATCAGGTCAGATTAGGGAAGTTCAGGAGCCTTTTCCTGAAAATTGTGGTCAGCAGTTACTTGGCTTACATCCTGTTGCCTTAGGATTTCTTTTTCCCTTCAGCTAGGGAAATGCAAGGGAAGGTCCACTGTCTGGGGCACAGCAGGGTCTGGGGCAGGTGACCGAAACTTTGGACAGATGTCAATGGAATCTTTCTAACAAAATTAACGGCTTGCTTTGGAGTGACGTTAGGTAAAGAGACCTTCGCTACCCCTCACCACTCCAGATGGAAGAGTGAAAAGAGGCAGAATGTTAGTTAATTCCATGGTAAATCTCATGGTTTCTGTTGTGGAGGTGTCCCTGCTAACTTACTTATGTGAGCTTGATTAGTCCACAAATCTGAATTGTCTCAGGGCCCTTGCTTAGACTTGATAGAGCACCAGCACTTAGGGTATGTTATAATCCAAGTTTTTGTACTTGTTAGCAGCCTTTCCATCATTCCAAAATTAGGGTCTGTAAAATTCAAGCTTTTCACGGTTTTGCTGGCAATCCCTGCCACATAGTGGTCTTGAATGAATTGGTGAGTGAACACTCACAGTGTGGTGGTTTCTGTAAAATTCCATGTTGTAGTCAAATCAAAATTT